TAACCTAGGGAGATGGGATGGGGAAGGCACAAATGAAAGACCATTCATTATTCTCAAAGTCATAATATAAAAATTAAGGTAGCCCTATGGGCTTTCCAGTGAGGGGAAGTTCATAGCAAAAGAAAGAATGCCTCATGGCAATGGACTTCATTTTCTAATTCTCACCCCAATTTTCTGTACCCTAACTTTTCTAGCATATTTCTTGATAATTATTTTTTGGAAAGCATGTGATTTTATATACTTATTTATTTATTTGAGAAACAAATTTTCTAAATGCATTCCTTTCTCTTCATTCATCTGTGTTTCTTAACTCTTAAAGCTCTAGTCCTTCTGGAAGCCGAGTGGTACCCCCCCTGCCAAGGAGAGTGACTGGGCACTTTTGTGACTGAGAGGGCAGAAGGAAGCATTTCATAAAGTCTCCTTACTATGTAACCCTGTTTTCCTGTAGTATTAGGGGATAGACAGAAAGAATCTCGCCCCATCAGACCCTTCAGCCTTTCCCTAAGCCTCGGGTACCATACTCTCTGCATCTGTGGTTTTTAAACTCACAAACCCTCCTATAGTAAGTGCACTTCACTTTTGGGCTTTATTTGCGTCTGGAACACCAGGCTCCGACGTCATTTCCCTCGCTGCAGAAGGATCCCTGCTATGGTCGTGTCCACAGGAGATGGTTAGGTTAGCATTCCGAGGACTGAAAAACATCACAAAAAGAGGAGGGGGAACCACTTCATTTAGTTAAAGATGGTTCCTGATATACTTAAGCAGCTCCAGAATTAGAAAACCTTCCTGTACATTTTCTTCTGTTTTTCTTGCTTCTTTTCCTTATGTAATGAAATTAAAACTTTTGGAGCCCACAGTTGACATTTTTCAGAAAATTGAGTTATCAAGGCACTAATTATTTCTCGGGGAGATAAAACTCTCATAGCCCTAACTGTCAAATAGGGCCCTTTTCAGAGTTTAATTACAAAATAAAATTAGTCTGCTCTTCCTCGGAATGGTTGGCGAGTGGTTAAACAGAGCTTTCCCCCAATACTGGTGGTCGTCAAACTCAGCTAATTAGCAACGCTGAGAAATTCCAGTTAACAAGGGCATTCTCCGAGACTCTGCAGGTCCCCTGCCGTTCGCCTTCATTTTCATAAGGAGATTAGGAGAGGAGGGAACCCACTCAAATGCAGATGCGGGAGCGAAGCGTTTTTAACAAGCATCATAATAGTAAGATGCTTGGCTAGTTCTCGCTAATTACTGCAACTTAAACCTCTATTTGCCACTAAGAAGAAAAAAAAAATAAGTCTACAGTCCTCACCTCCACAAAATTGTCAGTTGGCTTCAGATATAATACTGGAAGGATAGGGAGCATTTAGGAGAGAAAAACTGATGCAAAAGATTTTTTTAAATAAAATTGGGTTATACTTAGCAGTTAAGGCTTCTGGCTAGGGCCAATAGCAGAGCAAAATAAAATGTGATTCCTCCAGGCATATGCTAATCACTAATGCTGGTCTAAAAGTGTATCGCTTTTTGCCGCCCATGGAAGGGAAGTGTTACATTCTCTTTAGATGAAGCATTTCCAATTTTCATAAACTATGCCAGTGGCAACATTTTAAATTCTCGGAGGATGAAGCACCCTGTTCCAAGTCTCTTTCTGATTGTCTGCTAGTCAATTGTGTATTGTTGCTGCTACTGTAGTCAGCTATTATAACCCCAAAGAGACTTGCCTCCGTCGTGGGATGGGGCTGTTATAGTTTTTATTATACTTTGGGGACTATGATGGTGCTGGATTGAAATCGGGTGGCCAGTGATCTAATTTTTTTTCAGTGCTTATGTTCTAAAAACCATAAACTAAAAATGGTCTTTGCTATTGCCATCTTCTTTAATCTTATTCTCATTGCACATTATTATGCATACACAGCAGCCAGTTAGTGCTTTGCCTGGATAAGTCTAAGTACAGCAAGCTTAATTAAAATAAAACTGTAAATAAATACTACCAAGGATAACACGATTGTAATGTACTCCCATAGGTTATTCGTATGATAAAGCAATTAACAAAAGACCTAGCCAGAACCCTTACCCTCTCTAAGTACATTATTATAGAGTTCAGGTGCAGACAGGTATTTGAGAATTGCACACCATCCGATGGTTGGGGAGGAGAGGGCGGAGCTATGCTTTTTACTACTACCCTTGAAAGAACACTATCAAGATTTTAAAAAGATGTTCCTTTATCACCATCCATTATTAATATTTATCTTAATAAATATACACCACCGTTGTCCACATTAACTTGTTAGGTTTTTTCTCTTCAAACTTAATTATCCATAAGCCTTTTTAAATTTTCAGAATAATGCTATTAAGCGCCTACCGATACATACACAATCACAAAGTGAATGCCCGGGCTGCCCTTCGTGGCGCGCGGACAATCATAATTCATTCATATGTTGAATCTCATAATTTATACCTATTTTCCCCTGGTTTAACCTTCCACTTCATCTGGCGGTTCTATGTACATTTCTAAGTTAAGCAAATTAAATTTGATTCTTATGATTTGGTCCTACGGCTTATATGATATGTTAACTTTTCTTTTGTTTAGATTATGTGTAATTAGTTTGATCTTCCATCCTCCTTTTTTTTTTTTACTTAATTATTTCTACACACCTTCTTTTTAAAGGCATAGTCTTGGAAAAGCGAATACACCAGCAGGGGGCGCAGCAGCTACATCCCAGAAACTAGGCGTGCTGAAAAGTCGGTGGCTGCCTTCCCCGGCTCAACCTCTTCGGTAGTCTCCAGAGATTCGTGTTGAGCGTAATAGTACACCCCGATTAAGCTGAAAACAATGTTTTAATTTGAAGAGTCCCAAATATTTACGCGTTTCTGTAAGTCTTTTTCGGGTTCCCAAGAACTAAAGCAACCAAAATTTAAGGAGCACCTGAGGCAGACAGAACAGACAGAAGGAGAAGTAGCAAAGAAATTATTTACTTCAAGTTTGCAAAAAATTCTTTACCACAACTTTTCCGGGTGTGACGTGAGCATATTTAGCTTGAGTGTGGCACTAGCAGCCAAGTCTGGAAGGACAGGAACTGGAGCCGTGGGGGTGGGAGGAGAGCAGAGGTGGACAGTGGAAAATAAACAGGGCTGTAAGGACAATGTGCGGAGCGTGGCCGGCAGATAACCCTTCTGAACGCTTTCTTTAGGCCTAGTTGGGGTGGTTGAGGGGAGGAGGGGCTGGGAGAATTGCAGGGGGAAAAAAAAAACTAACCCTGATGGTTTAAGCTCTTTATTTAAAAAGAAAAAAAAAATGGCATCAGGACTCCCCCCCCTTCTCTCTCCCCTTTTGTACCCAAGTGCATTTTAGCCACAAAGGTTCCAACAAGAGTGGAAGGAAACTTAGACGGGGCTTTGTTTGACTCCGTGTAGCGACAACAAGAGAAACAAAACTACCTATTTGTAACGGACGTGGTGCGGTGGCTCTGGGCTTTTTTTGAGCGCCTGCCGATTGAAATCTTTACGTCTGGACAATGGCAGATCGGCTAAAATTACCCTCTCGGGTCCTGGGCGGGCAAGATTCTTGAGCCCCTACCCCCGCCCCCAGCCCATCCTCCCGCAGCCTGGGCTTGCTGGGGCCCGGCTCCCCGGGTTCCGTAGGCCTTGTCCCTGCGCACTTCGCCTGCACCTGTGCCTCTGAACCCCGCGTGCCTCCCAGGTCCCAGTGCCTCTCAGCCCTAGACCAACTCGGCCTGGCCTTCGCGGCTACCAGCGTGCCAGTCAGCAGGGGCAGTGCTGGCTGCGCAGCTCCCATCCTGGGAACGCTGCGTGGGAGGGAGTTGGTGAGCGCAGCCCAAATGCCACCTCGGTGCCTCGCAGTGGGATGCCAGGAAGTTGCGTGACCCTCCCCCTTCGCCTGTGCTCTGGAGTCTTTCTGTTGATTCTTTCGTCCCCAGGCTCTCATGTGAAACTGCCCCCACTGAAAATCCTCTTGTGTCGGGGATGGGGGTTAGAAGGAGAGTGGGAGGAGAGTTCAAGCTTTGCCTCTGCACCCTCTGGATGGGACAGACTTGTGGAGGAGGGAGTTAGGATAGAGGACACGTGCTGCGGTTCCTTAAGCCATACCTGAGCCAGGCTAGGAGAAGGCTGAGAACAAGGACTGGCCCTGGCTCTGCTCTGCAGTGGGCCACATGGGCAGAGAACTGTCTGGGAGCCGAGCAGATGACGTGGAACCCAGGAGGGCGCTGAGGCCCGAGGCTTGGGTCTAACTTCTTGTCTATACTGTGAGAAGAGGGGCTGAGTGGGTGTTGGCACCAAGGTAGGAAGAGGGGCTGGAACCGAGAGCAGTGCCACGGATGAGCGGAGGAACAATGGCACACCACCTCCGGCCCTGCCAGCTTCCTGAAATACTAGTTGGACGGTCGCCCTGAACCACCCATGGGCCCTGCCCCACCCTGGCCCCAGCTCCCCGCGTCCCATCCTCCCTTATGTACTTAAGAGGGAGCCAATATTCCGTAGCAAGGGGGGGGAAGGAGCTGTCGTCTTGGTGCTGTTTACCCACTTCCTTCGAACAGGCGTGCGCCGTGACCTGTTGCTGAGGAAGGGAGATACAAAGGTTCCCCCGCGGCCGGCTGCAGGCTGCGGGCCCGCCTCCCCCGCGCCGCTCCGGGCACAGCGCTCTGCTGGGCTCGGCTCGGCGGCGCGGCAGGCCCCGCCCCCTTTCATGCAAAACCCTCTGGCGAGGCTGGGCTCGGGCGCAGGAGCCGGCGCTCGCTGATTGGCCGCCGGAAACCCATTTATTCCCTGACAGCCCCCATCACATGGATGGTTGTCTATTAACTTGTTCAAAAAAGTATCAGGAGTTGTCAAGGCTGAGAAGAGAGTGTTTGCAAAAAGGGAAAAGTACTTTGCTGCCTCTTTAAGACTAGGGCTGGGAGAAAGAAGAGGAGAGAGAAAGAAAGGAGAGAAGTTTGGAGCCCGAGGCTTAAGCCTTTCCAAAAACTAATCACAACAATCGCGGCGGCCCGAGGAGGAGAGCGCCTGTTTTTTCATCCCAATTGCACTTCGCCCGACTCGAGCTCCGCTTCCCCCCAACTATTCTCCGCCTGATCGGGCAGGGCCGTGCACGCCGACGCCCCTGCCCGCGGCCCCTGCAGCCCGGCCCCCGCGCGCGGCCCCCGCAGTCCCGGCCGGGCCGAGGGTCGGCGGCCGCCGGCGGGCCGCGCCCGCGCCCAGCGCCCGCATGTATAACATGATGGAGACGGAGCTGAAGCCGCCGGGCCCGCAGCAAGCTTCGGGGGGCGGCGGCGGCGGAGGCAACACCACGGCTGCAGCGACCGGCGGCAACCAGAAGAACAGCCCGGACCGCGTCAAGAGGCCCATGAACGCCTTCATGGTATGGTCCCGGGGGCAGCGGCGTAAGATGGCCCAGGAGAACCCCAAGATGCACAACTCTGAGATCAGCAAGCGCCTGGGCGCCGAGTGGAAACTTTTGTCGGAGACCGAGAAACGGCCGTTCATCGACGAGGCCAAGCGGCTGCGCGCTCTGCACATGAAGGAGCACCCGGATTATAAATACCGGCCGCGGCGGAAAACCAAGACGCTCATGAAGAAGGATAAGTACACGCTTCCCGGAGGGCTGCTGGCCCCGGGCGGGAACAGCATGGCGAGCGGGGTTGGGGTGGGCGCCGGCCTGGGTGCGGGTGTGAACCAGCGCATGGACAGCTACGCTCACATGAACGGCTGGAGCAACGGCAGCTACAGCATGATGCAGGAGCAGCTGGGCTACCCGCAGCACCCGGGCCTCAACGCGCACGGCGCGGCGCAGATGCAGCCCATGCACCGCTACGACGTCAGCGCCCTGCAGTACAACTCCATGACCAGCTCGCAGACCTACATGAACGGCTCGCCCACCTACAGCATGTCCTACTCGCAGCAGGGCACCCCCGGCATGGCGCTGGGTTCCATGGGCTCGGTGGTCAAGTCCGAGGCCAGCTCCAGCCCCCCCGTGGTTACCTCTTCCTCCCACTCCAGGGCGCCCTGCCAGGCCGGGGACCTCCGGGACATGATCAGCATGTACCTTCCCGGCGCCGAGGTGCCGGAGCCCGCTGCTCCCAGTAGACTGCACATGGCCCAGCATTACCAGAGCGGCCCGGTGCCCGGCACGGCCATTAACGGCACACTGCCCCTGTCGCACATGTGAGGGCCGGACCGCGAACTGAGAAGGGGAGAAAGAGATTTTCAAAGAGAAACAAGGGAATTGGGAGGGGTGCAAAAAGAGGAGAGTAAGAAAAATCTAATATGCTCAAAGGAAAAAAAAATCTCATTGCCCGCAGCAAAGTGACAGCTGTGGCTAAAAGACCACCAATCCCATCCAAATTAACGCAAAAACCGTGATGCCGACTAGAAAACTTTTATGAGAGATCTTGGGACTTCTTTTTGGGGGACTATTTTTGTACAGAGAAAACCTGAGGGCGGCGGGGAGGGTGGGGAATCGGACCATGTATAGATCTGGAGAAAGAAACTACGCAAAACTTTTTTTTTTTTTTTAAAGTTCTAGTGGTACGTTAGGCGCTTCGCAGGGAGTTTGCAAGTCTTTACCAGTAATATTTAGAGCTAGACTCCGAGCGACGAAAAAAAAAGTTTTAATATTTGCAAGCAACTTTTGTACAGTATTTATCGAGATAAACATGGCAATCAAATGTCCATTGTTTATAAGCTGAGAATTTGCCAATATTTTTCGAGGAAAGGGTTGTTGCTGGGTTTTGATTCTGCAGCGTAAAATTAGGACCGTTACAAACAAGGAAGAAAGAAATTTATTCGGATTTGAACATTTTAGTTTTAAAATTGTACAAAAGGAAAACTTCAGAACAAGTACTGGCAAGACTATTTTCTTGGTCTTGTTTAAAAGGGTAAAATTCTAGATTGTACTAAATTTTTAACTTACTGTTAAAGGCAAAAAATGTCCATGCAGGTTGATATCGTTGTTAATTTATAAAAGCTTTTGTTTAATCCCACCTTTCCATTTTGTTCAGATAAAAGAATATGGAATTACTGTGTTTGGAATATTTTCTTATGGTTTGTAATATTTCTGTAAATTGTGATATTTTAAGGGTTTTTTTTTCCCCTTTTATTTTCCGTAGTTGTACTTTAAAAGATTCGGCTCTGTTATTGGAATCAGGCTGCCGAGAATCCATGTATATATTTGAACTAATACCATCCTTATAACAGCTACATTTTCAACTTAAGTTTTTACTCCATTATGCACAGTTTGAGATAAATAAATTTTTGAAATATGGACACTGAAATTATGCCTGAGTCTTTCATTTCTTTGGCTAGCAATGCTTAGACATAACTTCTTGGGGAATGAGAATACCGGGCTGAGCCCCCAGGCTTGACGTTCCCAGCAATGTTAGCATTAACTGCAGAAGGAAAAGATGGCTGGCTGATTAATAACGGGAAACTGAAATGCGCTGTCATTTCTAAAATAGAAACTAGAGGCATATATTGTAAGTCCACCCCCTCCTTTCCGAAGCAGCGTGAATAAGCGCGCTGTGGGCTTAAGCTAGCTTGTACCACTTGTTGCCAGAAGGAGTCGATTCTAAAATTTTCATGTAGCTTAGCAGATGGGGTATTGAGCCAAATCAGAGCCAGGTTGGCTGGGTTTGTTTTCATTTTCTTTACAACACAATGGCCCTTTGAAATGTGGTTTATAGGGGAAAATGATGCTTCTTGTATCGGAATAATTACAAAGTAGACGCGGAGTGTTCTGCCGGGTAGGTGCTTGGGTGGCTCCATCCCTGCTATTGTGTGAGGAAACAAGTGGTTTTCTGTCTTTGTTTCCCGAGTTCATAAACTTTCTCCTCCACGTTTTCCTGTTTGGGGCGAGGGAAAAGCAAAGACCGCCTTGCAAAATTCCCTTACTTATCATGGACTTTTTATTTTATTTCCCCCTTTCTCCTCCCCTCACCCCCCACTCCGGATTCCACTTCTTAATTTGGCAGCGCGGGTCCAAGACTAGTCCCAAATCGGATAATCTCTGCAGCTGGCTACACGCAAAAGAGAAGCCAGGCAACAGACATATTACAGAAGAAAGCTCTCGACTCCGAGGTAGATATTTCGCTTTGTGTGCGCTCTGATCACATTTGGACATGATTGTGCTTTTGATCTGTTAACTGTTTTACTACAGTAATAGAGAGACGGGGAGGAGAGAGGGAGGGGAAACGAGATTGGATTTGCTGTTTTCTTTCGCCCCAGGAAAAGTAAAGAGAGGCAGGCCATGTCCTCGGCTGGAGCGGAAAAGTTGGGAACCGCCGTGGTCTTTAGGCTAACCAGCAGGTTCTGGCGGCGCATCCGAGGCCGCTGGCGGGCTCTCCCCTCCCTGCCCCCATTTCCGCTCATCCATCCAAAGGCACCAAGAACCAGCAATCGACGTCCTTAGGAGTTTAGCATTGCTTCTGTTTCTAGAGAGTCGGCTCGAGTCACCTCTGCTAAAGTTAGAATCCTGCGGCGCTTTCTGCCCTGCTGCGGGATACCGGCCTTAGCCGGTTCTGTCAGCCGCTAGGCCTATGTTGCCTCTTTGGCAAGAAAGTCTTTTTCTTTCTTGAGGAGCTGCTGATGTTCTGTGGAGGACTATGAAGGTGTCGTTTTCTGTGTTTATATTTCTTCTCGATCGCTTCATTTCAGGTGTACAGTGGGTAGTTTTCTTTATTTTCGTTTTTACGGTTATGCTGTATGGGGAAGGGACATTTATTCAGTTTCCAATCCAAGCTAGGCATTTTCTCCTCTAATTAATGCAGAGACTCTGAAAGAATTTCTCTGGGCCTGGCCAGCCATTGTGATGCATATAGGATTATTCACGTGGTGATGAGCACGTTCGACAGTTCTTGCTCACACATAGGAATAAAAGAAACTTTGAATAAAGAACCAAATGCTCGTGCTGGGGGACAGGAGAGGATATTCTCGGAATTCAAGCCAATGGACAGTATAGAATGTATATATTTGAAAATAAATTTATTTTTGGGGACATATATGTGTGTATGTATATATATATATACAGTTTACAATAATTGACCCGACTCAATCTCCCAGTTTAAAGGAACAAGAAAAAGGCTCAGTGGATCTGACCCAAGCCAAACATTGGGGGGGAGATGCTCAGGTTCAAATATTTCGCAAAACAGAAAAGCACTTTTGAGAGTTAAAAACATTTAAATGATTATCACTCTTCAAAAAAAAGGGGGGAGGGGAGAAACCCCATATCTCCAAGCCAAATAGTTTAAAAGTAGAGGTCACCGTATTTTGTTTGCAAGTATAGAAGCTTTTGATAAACTGCAGCTGAAGAAAAAAGACTCCTTTTCTTTTGCGTTATCCATTTTATTGAGTAAAACAGTTCCCAAGATGTATAATTTCATACCTAGGTTAATATTTATTAGCAAATCATTTTTAAGAAGAATTTCATTTTTAAGAAAAGGGATAAGACATGAATCTGCCCAGGCAAGGATGGCTTGCTTCCGTTACTGGCTGTTCCCGTCATTCCTAAGGATATTGTGCTGGTCAAAGAGAGTTAATTTCCAGTCAAGAGGGTGAATTTAAATATTGCTTTGACTTTATACACAGACTAGAAATCTGTAACAGGATGAGCATATAATCTGTGCTTGCTACATTTTTTTCTCCTACCCCCGCCCCCTCCATATCTTAAAGAGTGTTAAAATATTTTGCTGAGCGAGAGTAGATTAACAAGGTTCCTTTGCCAATGCCGGAAAGCTGGTATCACAGACTATCCCAGGGGAAAATGGCTCACATTAACCACTAAATGAATATTTGACAAGGGCTCATTCGGAGGTATTATTACTATAAATGTGTCCCTACTGGACTTTTCAAGGTCAAAGAGCAATGCTTCAATTAATTATTTAGACTGCTAGTAGATTTGGATGTAATAGCTGTACTTATTTCTGGAAGCGACACATTCTTGCAGTGGGAAAATCTCCCGAGACTACCCATCAGCAGTATCTCAGATGGAAAGGTGTGGGAAACCCTGGCACTCCGAGGCTGACTTTTTTCCTGAAACATTTTCCTGGTTCAAGGGAAAGATTTGCTTTTTTTTTTTTTTTAAATCCCGTTTCAGGGTCTATTTTTAGTTCAAAAGAAAGAACTATATAATAATTTACATGGATTTCTTCACTATGTCTGGCAAGATCTTTTAGAGCCTGTGATGTTGGGGAGGAACTGGATGGTGTTTTATACAACCTCTGCCTTGTCCAAATAACGAAGTCACAGGATCTCTCAGGCCCTGCCAGGCTTGAGCTTAGGTAGGGAACATACTCTTGTTTGGCAACAAAAGCAAAGGTTTGAAATGGAAGGCACCAGGCTGAGTGTTCTGAGTTCTAATAATGGCAGAGTAAATAGGGGTGCAAGGAGCCCCTTCTCCTGTTGGTTTTAACACTGGGGGCAGGGGGATATGCCTTTCTGCCTTGTCACAGGTTCCCCCATGACCTTAGGTAAATGGTAATCTGGTAATCGAATGATTTTGAGAGTAAGATTCCTCCACAATAATATAAATTGAATGAATAAGAGATAAGCTGGGGGGGGGCAGTAATTACAGCCCAATTCATTCAGCTTCTCAGAACTTTTGTTGTAGATGCTCCATTGACTGGGTTTGAGCTGCCAGTTTTCTCACACTGAAAGGAGTTGATCAGGGCCTTGGGGGGTGGGGTGGGGGGAGAGGATCACTACTAAACTGTTTGGTGATGGGGTCTTCATTTAGAGCCATTACCAGAGCGAAATTAAATCGGGCCTTTGTGTGCACGAGGTTTTACTTTTCAACTGCTCTGAGATTGAGGTCTGACTGTGGTCTGGCTGTGGCTTGATCACTACTAGTTGGCATCTCTTATGATTCTCCTTATCTATTTATTTTATGTTGTGATTGAGAGCACGTCCTCTCTGAAACTCCCTTCCCCCATTTCTTGCTTTCGAAAAGTTTTGAAAAGCAGGCCTTCATATTTGTTCCTTCCTGGAATTTCTTTTTGCGTGGAACCCCTTTAGCCAGGACCCCAGTTTCTAATTCTCCCATACCCCCCCCCCACACACACACTCCACTATTACTTTAAAACAGTTTGCACCTCGGTGGGGTTTTTTGCTTTGTTTTTGTTTGTTTTCTGCTGCTTTTCCTCGTACAGGGTCCACCTGGACCTGGGTTTGGGAATTGGCCTCAGACTCTTTGCTTCCTTTTTTGACCTGACTTGAGAGATGTCTGACCGCCTCTCCCTAGGGACCCTGTCTAAGAGATGGATTCCTTA